TGGCGCCAGGCGTGCGTAAACCGTGTGTTGCGTCATCAGTGCGCGCCGGCGGCGCTTCCGCGTATTTGACGTCAGAGGGTTCCGGGGGGTCCCTGGGCGCCGCCGGGGGTCCCGGGGCGGCGCCGCTCGGTCGCCATGGAGGGAGCCGCTCTGCCCATCCGCCGGTCCCGCCGGGCCCTGGTGGAGGCCGTGAGGGAGCGACCCTTCCTCATCGTCACCGGCGAGACGGGCAGCGGCAAGAGCACGCAGCTGCCCAAGTACCTCTTCGAGGCAGGTAACGGCCGGGGAGGGGGGGAGCCAACCCCTGAGAGCCCCCTCATCGGCCCCCGGAATGTGGGGAATAAGCGCAGGTGAACGCGGATAATCCTGTCACCTCAGGGGGGGGGGCTCCGCCTCGGGCTGTGCCGTGCCGATGTGCGTGTGGTGAGAGGAGGAGGCGGGACTTTGAAACTCAAAAACTATGGCTGTATATATATTCCGTAAGCACCTGTGTATAACCTGGCCCTGAGCAGCACAGCTCAGCGTCCTTGTTCTCCCCCTCTCTCCCCTAGGCCTGGCCAAGCACGGGGCCATTGGCATCACGCAGCCCCGGCGCGTTGCCACCATCTCGGTGGCGCAGCGGGTGGCCGAGGAGATGGGCTGTTTGCTGGGGAGTGTCGTCGGGTACCAGGTCCGCTTTGATGACTGCACCACCGAGGTAGGGCTCCGAAGACTGTGCTCGTGAGGGTGTTGTCGTGGCAGGGTGTGGTGGGGTCGGCGGGCCGCGGCTCAGTTTTTTTGCTTGTGGGCCTCTCCGTTGGAGTGTCACAGCCCTGTCACCTCTCCTGGGGCTTTGCAGGCGAAAGGTGTCAGAGCCTTGAGACGGCCTCTGTCCCAGCTGTGGTGAAGCTGCAGTTGTATGTGTCCTAGAAGTCCTTTGATCAAATTTTTTTTCAACAGCCTACAGGCGAAACATTGCCAGGCACCTGTGATACAATCTCCGTGTGTGTTCTGGACAAATATTTGATCTGTGTAGAAGTGTTTACTTCTGGGATAATTGCTCAATGTCTAATTAAACCTTTCAGGATACTGCCATCAGGTATATGACCGATGGCTGCTTATTGAGGCAAATATTGGCAGACCCCCTTCTCAGCAAGTACAGCATCATCATTTTGGATGAAGCTCATGAGCGGAGCCTCAGCACTGTGAGTGTTGCCTTATATTTGTCCTTTTGGGTCACTGTGTCTCCTTTACTGAGGTCTACTTATTCCTTTCTTTCGCTTCTGCACAATCCCCAGGGATTTTGGCTGACTTTTCATGCATGTGCTTTATCCTTTAGTTGTCCTAAGACCATAGAATTGCTGCTTCGTTTATACATGCTGCATAATCTGAAGATGAGGTCTGTAAGCCTGTTGGAATTGTAGCTGTTGTTCCATTTGAAAGCAGCTAAAACTTGGCCAGCTCTTGGATACTTTCCAAAAATTTCCAGGAGTTTGAAGCCAGCACAGTGAACACAAACTTTCTAGAACCATAATTTTAACAAAACACGCAGAAACAAACCAACCCCTGAAACATCTGTCATTCACAGGCCTAATCTTTCTTAAGGGTGTGTGTATGGCTGTGCAAAGAGATTAGGACTTCTGGGATCCTGGAAGTGTCTAGACTGACCTAAGTACCCAAAGCTATCGGATGTCACTCTGACCCTTCTGTGGTGAGCAAAGTGAGACTCAAGTCACTCAGTCCTCGAGAGATTGTGTTGTGTGTCAAACAACACACCCATCCAGCTGGGGAAGAGAATCCCAGTTCTGCCCTCAAGCATCTGAGGGTATTGCAAGTAATTGAGCTGGGGTGATGTAAGCAGTTACTGGTCTACCACATGTGTCTAACTAAAAGGAGCAGATTTTTAATCCAGAGCACTGCAGAGTAAAATAAACTTGCTGAAGTCATAACAACAAATAGTACCACAAAGGACGGTGCACGCTCGGTCAATTAACGTACCCTGGACCAAACTGGTGACTTCTTAAGGTGCATCTGAGGTAGCTGCTTGCAAATGACCATGAGACGATAAAAATGAAAACCAAACCAAAGGATTTTAAGTGATACTGATTCTGTTTATAGGCTGTGAGATGAGCTGATAGAAGAAAAATAATTATAGAAACCAATTAGCATGCTTACGTGATGACCAGGGTAAGTGTATGTATTCTTCCGAGTGCTTAGGCCATCAAGATGTGATTTTTCTGTCTCAACTATACCAGCAGAATAAAATCAAGTTTGTCAGGGACTTCTAAGAAAGCTGGAGTACTAATGCAGGTTGCTTCTGTTTTTCTGTTAGGATATTTTATTTGGTTTGCTGAAGAAACTGTTTCTACAGAAGAAACCACCAAACAGGAAGACAGCCTTGAAAGTGGTGGTGATGTCAGCCACCCTGGAGGTGGACAAGCTGTCAGAGTTCTTTGGACACAGTTCAGTGCTGCATATTCCAGGAAGAAGTTATCCTGTCAAGGAGATATTCTGCAACCTGCTCAGCCCGAGGGACATAGGCAGCTCTGCCTACGTTACAGAGGTCTGGCCTGTTTTTCTGTGTTGTGTTTTCTTTTCTTGGTACGATTATAATCTGTGAAAGACCACAAGAATTAGTCGCTGTATTGTTGCGTTCTTAGCATGTCTGTAGGATATAGGAAAGAATTAGTGCTGTGTTAGTTATAGAAAGAGTGAGATTCCAGCTGTTACCGGCTTGTTTGTTGTTTGTTTCAGGCTGTAAAAGTGACATTGGATATCCACTTAAATGAACCAGAAGGCGACATCTTGGTTTTCCTGACAGGTGCGAATTTTTCTTTCAGCAGCTGATGGTTATTGCAGGTGAAGCATGGCATTGTCAGCAAATCATCCTTCCAATGACTGTCTACTTTGACCCAGAGCAGCAATTAAAGAAGGGAAAGTTGCAGGTTGATGCACATAGTGCTGTGAAGTGATAGTTTTCAGAGCATGTTTAGGTGTATCCATGCCTGTGAGATCAGATAGGAAATACATTAACTGAAAAAATATGCATGTGCTCTTTTCTTCCTGTGCCAAATTTACTCTGTATTGTCTACGTGGTTTATTTTGTTGTTAATTCAGGAAGGGAGTGTTTCTTTAGCTGCAAAACCCTACATCAGTGTATGGGCCAGGCATTCATGCAGTCATCTTTTAAGGAAAAGTTTAGTGAGAGGCACTGTGGAAAGATTGGATGTCACCTCCTAAACTAACTCTCCTAACTCCCTTCTCGTAATGGTGTCGATGACTCTCTACTATTGGCAAAACAATCTTGTTTAAAGATGTCACAGACTAGGAAGGCAGAGTTGTAGCTACATACATTGCTTAAATGCTCTTGTATGTTTTTTAGGTCAAATTGAAATAGAAAGAGCTTGTGACTTGCTTTTCAAGAAAGCAGAATGTATTGATTACCGGTATGAAGTACATGATCAGTCTATAGAAGGCCTGCTTATCTTACCATTGTATGGGTCAATGTCAACAGGTAAGAGCATATAATGTCGTATGGAACTTAATTCACATAAATGTTAAGTGCAAGAGTTGTTACAAACAGTATCCTAATCAGATATTTCTGTCGTGATTGGAAAAAATGTCATTCATTCACCTCCTTGTTACAGTCCTGTAGCCCAGTGGGGGTTTTGTGGTGTTCATAAACTAATCAAACTTCAGCCGTCTCTGTACTTGCACAGAAGCCTCCAGTTAAAATTCATATGCACAGGAAATGGCTTCACATGGCACCAAGGTCTCAAGCTTAGGAAGAGGGGATATGGTGTTACTGAAAGTGCAGATGTCTTATTTAGGCCCTCACATTTTATGTGGCAAAAAATATTGCCAGTAGGGTTTTGGTGATGAGAGACCTGTAAGGGAAGATAGAAGTAGTAGAGCGTTACACAAATAGAAGAGTACAGGTTGTCAGAGTGAGTCAGTCTGTTTTATTTGGCAGCAATACCACAGTTAGTTTTGAAGAGTTAAAAACAAAAGCCTTGTGGCCTTTACTGAACACAGACGCTGTATTTTCAGATGAACTTGAGCGCTGTGTTTGAATGTGTGGGTTCAGTATGCAGAATGCTGTGGGGCTGAATAAGTGTTCCTAAGAGCACATCCTAATTTCCATCTGGAAGTGCTGCTGAGAGGAAGGATCTGGTAACGACCTGCAGAGAGGGAACAAAATTTTTACCTTCTTGAAAGAGCAAAATGAAAAGTTGCCTAAAAGAAAGGTATAGTTTCTTCCTCACTCTATGATGGGTGTTAGATTCCTGACTGAGAGTGTTTGTTTTTTTTTTTAAATTTTTTTTTTTTCTCTTATAGTAGTTTCTCAGAGGCCGTTGTACTTGAATATTTTTAAATACACAGGAGAGAATTGTCCTTAAAGAGATTTTTGTATTTTTCAAGTCTAATAAGTGAGAAAATTTCAGGGGAAAGCTGAATTTCCCCCTCCCATTTTTGTTCCTTGGAAAGCCAAATGAATTAATGGAAACTTCATATGCTGCTTTGTTACATGTTAAAAGATTTCCTGGAAATGGAGGAGGGGTTTAACTGACTTTTTTCACTCACACCTTCACTTGCTCTAATTGTTAAAACATTTCAAATCCTTCGTGAATCCTTCTAGTAAGACTAGACATCTTGCTTGTTTTTCCTAGCTCTGGGTTAGGAAACATCCAGGAGAGTTGGCCTTCCTGGATTTCAAAATCATCTTGAATATGCACACAATAAAGATGTTCTCTGATTTCTGGCATCTGCTAAAATAATATCGAATCTATATTTTAGAATGTTACGTGATTCACTTTCTAATTTCATTCAAGTGACTTCCACTAAGCATTTGAGTAAGTTTGCACCGTGATGGAAATGTGGTTTGAAATCAGCATTGTAACATAACAGATTGCTTGACTGACTACCTGTCATTTTAGATCAACAGAAAAGAATATTTTTGCCAGCTCCCGCAGGCATTAGAAAATGTGTGGTATCCACAAACATTGCTGCAACATCTCTGACGATTGAAGGAGTCAGGTATTGTTTCCTATCCTTCATAAAAGCTGTAACAGAGGGAATGATTCAGAAAGTTCTGCTAGATTTGGAAGAATGGGTCTGACTTCCTTATGCTACTATTCCTCTCCAGTAATTTTTTGTGTACATAGTAAATAAAAAAAACCCCTTGATACTATTATATAGTCTTACCGATGATTAATATTGTTGGACCCTAATTTAAAATCAAATCTCTGCTCCATTAAAGGAGCACGATCTCTTTGGGTGCTGGGAGGTCTTATCTGCAACATCCTGTAGACTGAAGCATTGCAGGGCTACAGCTGACCAGCAAAGTGCAACTACTGGTTTGCAGTGGTTGTAGGTTAAATGTGTTCTTGCTTTGATGGTATGCATGTGGCAGTTACCTGTCTCCTGAGACCTCAGTTGTTCTCTGACAGACTATGACTCTTTTTCAGATATGTCGTAGACAGTGGATTCGTGAAGCAGCTGAATCATAACCCTCGAGTTGGCTTGGACATACTGGAGGTGGTTCCCATTTCAAAGTAAGTTTTAAAAAGGTCATGTGCTTGGTGTTTCTGGGAGTTGCTCTGACAATACCGATTTATCAGCTGGTCTTTGGGAGGGTAAAAAAGAAAAGGGGAGAGGGTGGAGGCTTTGAGGCTCTGTAATTTAAAGCCGTTTTGTTTGCTGCAAAATAGAAAGTGGTTCAGGACATATAATTTCGTATAAGTTACAGGCATTAAGAAGGAATTGACAATGCACTGTCTGTATAGTCTGAACTGTGGCTCACATGTCATCTTGTGTTTGCTGAATACAACAGCCTGATTCAGAGGAGCTTAAAAAAAAAAAATCTTCTCTTGCACAGAAATGCTGCTTCTTTCTGCTGGGTTTTGTATAGCTGGATTTCTCAGTTGCTGCACAGTGTAATATATCTTCCATCTACAAGCATAGAAATTGCTATTATTTATCATAATTACAGTGTGCTGCTTTTAGATAATAACAGAAGGGATCAAGAGTTTGTTGGGGTTTTTTTCTTATTATTTTTCCCTGCCTTTCTGTTTTGGAAGGAGTGAAGCGAGGCAGCGAGCTGGCCGGGCTGGCAGGACATCTTCTGGAAAAAGCTATCGGCTGTACAGTAGAGAATTCTGGGAGCAGTGCATGCCTGATCACACAGTCCCAGAGATCAGGAGAACCAGTCTGACATCGGTGATCCTGACCTTGAAGTGCCTTTCCGTGCATGATGTCATAAGGTACCCTTCGTGGAGGGGGGGGATTATCATTTTTTGCCTGAGTCGCAGCAGCAAGGCAGCACAGGCAGCAGCAGCCTGTTGGCAGGAGGCAGGATTAGGGCCCCAGCCACCTGTGACACTTCAACACAATCAGCTTTTCGGCTGTTCTCCTCAGTTTTTAATGCCAGATCGGATCTTGAGCTCAAGCTCAGTTTGAGGTTCTGCCAAAACTAGCTCCTCCTCTCCAAAATGAAATAGTTAATAGTGTTGCTTTTAAAGTAACGATGTTTATATCCCAAAAGCTTCATCTCTGTGGAGCTGTTTAATTTTAGGATCATACATGTGCAGAACATACAGTTCATCTTTGCATGTGCCATGCTGGGATTTGTCATCGTAATTCTTCAGCTTGAGGCTGTACGTGTAGTAACACACCCATGTACTGAAGGCGCTTATGTGCGCTTTGGTCAGAAACCTGTATTGGAAGGTTACAAAAGTATTTTAATAAATACGAAAACTAACAAAGCTATACCAAGTCTGAACAGTGAGATCTATTTTTTTTTTTTTCATTTTTTACTTTAGATTTCCATACTTGGACTGCCCTGAAGAAAGACACATTTTAGAAGCTCTCAAGGAACTTTACCAGTGCAATGCTATTGACAGGTAAAAAAAATAAAGGGGTGTAGTCACTACAAGAATTTAAGATCTAATGGTTTAACTAGTGTTAGTGAGTTGTTCATGTGGACTGAAGGACTTCCTCCAGCACTAGAATTTGTTTCCTCATTAGACCAGGAAGTTAACTACTGGCTTTTAATATACTCTGTAAAATTAGGGTTAGAGCATGGCTTGGGATTTGAGAGATACAGATTAATTTCTGCACATTGTCCTGGATTTCCTGAGTGACCTCAGACAAACTACCTCAACTCTGTGCTGTAGTTCCTGAGAGCAGATCCGAGACTGCTGTGACGAAGGTGCTTAGGCACTAGCTGTGAGGCCCATCCAAGAACTCAAGACAGGAAGTGAGATCTTATCCTAAGCTTCCAGGAATTCTTCTGTCAAAAAAACCCCCACAATCTGATGCACTTAAAAAAGCATCTGATGTCTAAAAAGCTGGCGTTGCCCGCCACGAAGCAGGCGTAAGCACACTGGATCTGCTAGTGACACTTGCTTCATGTCTCCAGCACCTAAGTGCAGTGTTAGAACAGTCCAGAGGGAAATGCTTGTGTCATGCTCTTTGTCACTCTGTGGTGGGTGATGTCGTGTGTGCATCTTCCAATTTACATTTAAACCTAATTTTGTTAAATCTGGTATTTGAATCTTTTTTTTTTTTTTTTTCCCTGGGATAAGGAGAGGCCACGTGACAAGACTGGGTGAATTCCTGGTGCAGTTTCCCCTGCCTCCCAACCTGGCCTGTGCTGTCATAAAAGCTGCTTCTCTTGACTGTGAAGACCTGCTGCTCCCCATAGCAGCTATGTTGTCTGTGGAAAATGTCTTCATTCGTCCAGGTAGGAAGCCCCTTATCCCAAAGCAGCCTTGGGTGGGTGGGGAATTCTGCTTGGACAGGGATGTCTCCGGCACTGCTTCACCTGGAGACCTTACAGCTTCCCCCTGCAGCGTTTTTTGCTCTGAGTAGTTTTCTGTGCTAATAGTTTGTGGTGCCACAGCATCTTATAGGTGTATCTCAAGGTTATAAAGTGGGAACAGATTCTCTATTTTGAGCAATGGTAGTACAAGCTTTTACTTGAGCATAAGGATACTCCTGCCAGGGAGCAAGCTGGTCTCCTGTCTCTCACCAGTGTTGGGCACAACTAAGAAGTATTTACCTTAAACTAATGCTTTAAATAAACCCTTACATTGCAGCATGAGAAAGATTCCTCAAGTGCAATGCCTTGTCTCCCAGAGTACATCGTAGCAGATCTGTAGGGAAGAGTGGGAGGACTAGGACAGATACACAGCGGCACTTTGCCCATTTGTTTTTACAACTTTCTGTGGTCTTGGGAGTCAGGGAACATTGCACGCTAGGAATTGGACAACAGCTGTTCCAAAGATTTCAGAATAGCATGGAATTGGGTTGTGTTTGTCCCAGGACTGTGAGCTGTAAAGCAACATATGGGTGAGTGGATTGCTGAGAGATCGTAAGGGGGGGAAAACTGTTACAGGAGGGGAGAGAAGAAAAAAACCAAACCCCAAAACCTCAACAAACCAAACAAACCACACCAGAAAACCAGAATGCATCACAGCAGATGTTTTGCTCTTGGCCTAAGTACAGACAACAGGGACTGATTAATTTGTTTTTAACGAATGGGGTCACCTCTGGATTGACTTTTCTGCTCAGTAACTGTGTTTAACCAAATAGACCTTTTAAGTTACTGTGAGAAGCTCAGCTTGTCACTGCCTCCATTCCCAGTGTTTTTTCTAAATGGAAAATGTAATTTTGCTGTGGTTCCAAGCTAGTGCCTCTTACTAGTGCTAAACTCCGTCTCCCACGTTCTCCTTCCTGTCTCCTTTCCCCTCCAGTCTGCCCCTGACCCATCCCCCCCAGCTGTGCCACATATAGTCTTTATATGTAGCGTGGTCTTTGTGGGAGACCTTTGTCCTTTCTAGTCACTCATTGGCTCTTGTCCAGTTATCTCTGTAGTCTATTAACCGTGCCCGTTAGCACAACAGCTAAGGACACTGCTGACAGCACTGATAGCCTGGATTCTGCTCTGGGGTTTTTCCCATTCCCACAAACGTGCGTTGTCTTTCCCATCCTCCATCTGGTGATATGCCCTCGTTATCTGCTCAGCTAGCTAACGCACGCCTGTTTGTTACTCTCCAGCAGCCCTGTACGTCGGGATGCAAACACAGAGGCTCCCATCCTGAGGGCACTTGCTCATGTGCAGTACGTAGAGGAACAGGCCTCCTTACTTCATCAGTGTTACTTTTAATACCCTCAAACTTCTGGCATTGTCTGCAGTCCAGCAGCAATGCCATATCCCTCTCTTCCAAGGGGAATAGGTTGTGCTGGGGAAGAAATACTTTGGGTATTTAAAAACTTGAAATAACACTTCGGAAATGTTGCTTTTGCCTAGTACGTTCCTAGCATTTAGTGAAGGTGAATTCTCACTAAACTCACAGATCATGTTTTTTCTAGACTGTTATTTGTTTTAAGACCTTCATTACTCTGGCACTTGAGTATGGGGGCGAAAGCTGAGTTAAATAGATCAGATGGTGCTATGATGAGGTGGTTTCTACAGTCTTGTTTTTTCTCTCGGGGCAAAACTTACACTTGATTCCTGTGAACTGTTTGTTTAAAGTCGCTGTTCCTTTATCTCACAATCAATTCAGATTACAATATGGAAAGAGACAAATATGTAGAACCTTTCTTTCTAAGAGATTTAGAATTCTTCATCTCTAGTGCTGATTGCTGAGATTAATCACAGATTCAATAGCGTCTACGTGTTCTTGTTCAGCAGTAGTGGAGGGAGGAAGAACTGTAAATGCAGCTGTGGAGGAGAGGCAAATCAAAAAATAACACCAATAAAGAGCCAAGGCTGTCAAACACACTTGGGAGAGATGCTAACAGAAGATCAAGTAGGAGTAATAAATAAAAATGACTTCAATAAAGTGAGATACAACTTACTTCCTCAGGTGATCCTCAGAAGCAAAAGGAGGCTGAGCTTCAACACCAGGAACTTTCCTCACAAGTGGGAGGGTGCAATGACTTTGCAACCCTCTTAAATATTTTTGAACAGTGCAAAGCAAGGTATGAAATGGTTCCTTACAGTAAGTGGTTTTGCATTGCTGGTAACTCCCAGCTGCTGTCGGGTTTAGATCTATTGCATACATGCGCGTGTATGTACTGATAGCTAATTGCAGTTTTGTTCCTTATTGTGATGTGTAACTTCTATCAAGACATCTATTATTTAAGCTAACAAAGTATCTGGCTGTGTAGGTTGCCTTCTTTGTACGACCGTAACAGAAAAATAGAGGCAACTTTCTGCCTGCAGCTTACAAAGGGCTTCTTTATAATGTAAGTATTTCTGTTCTCAGCAAGTCTCCTTCAGCTTGGTGCCAGAAATACTGGATCCATTGGAGAGCTTTAAAATCTGCTTTTAGTGTGGAAAAACAACTTCGGGAAATAGTCAGTAAACTGAAACAGGTAAAAAATACAATTTTTATTTATGACTGAGTTTATAGTTAAGGCATGTACTAGGCTGCTGAGTCTTTGGCAGATGGCTGCTGCCTTTCTCCAGTAGAAATTAATCCACTTAAATATTTATTAGAGCATCCTTGCTGTAGCTTGTGTAACTCACAGGTATGGTAATGGAAACAAGCAAGAAGGAGGGTTTTCCTCCTCATTGTTTCCACAGGATGAGAAACCCAGAGCTTTAAAATCCATGGGTTGGAGGGTGTATAGCCACTTTTTCTTTAGGAAAGATGCTGATTTTTTTTTTTTTTTTTTTAAATTTACATAGCTGCCAGACTTCCCTAAAGAGACATTTGAAGGCTCCAGAACTGAAATACTAAGAAGATGCCTGTGTGCAGGATACTTTATCAATGTAGCTAGGAGGTAAGTAATAAAGTTTGGAGAACTGGATGGAGAAGATACACCTTTAAAGAATACGCATAGTAGCTGCATAGTGAAACGGAATAGTAGGGCTGTATGCTGTTCAAAATACCAGTTGTAGCTGGAGGTGGTTTTTCTGCACAGGGCTGGCAGCCTGATAGGTGCTCTGCTTTTGACTCACTATACTCCTGGGGAAGTTGCTTACCTCCTTGGAACAGTAGTTTTTCTGGCTGAGAAATGAACTTGCAAGCTGACGAGTAGTTGCAGATATTAAACTAAAGGGCTTGGAAATGTCCAGTTATCATGGCTGTCAAGGACTTCATTCCCAAACTCTATTATTGTGGTGTTATCTCTGGTGTTACTGTGGTAAATATTTTACTCCTCGCTGGTGTTTTTTGCAGTTCTGGAAGGATCTTCCTCTGCTTATGTTTTTGAGTATTTTCTTCTATGCTGCTGCTGCTGATCTGCTTAGTTTAGTGTTGCTGTCTAATCACAGCAAAGTATGTCTCATTAATTTTTTAATTTTTTTCTTCCACAAACCTTTCAGATCTGCAGCCAGGACATTCTGCACAATGGATGGACATGGCAGCATAGTCTACATCCATCCTTCATCTACAGTAAGTTAGCAAAGTCTGTTAATAAAGTAGCAAAGGATCTCTAAAAGGAGTAAGAGGCAGGTCCCTGTAAATTCTTCCTCTTCTATTTGGTTTGTGCTGACTTATGGCTGGGAGAAGCACTGTGTGTGTTCATTTTGAGAGTGGGAAGAGCCTCGTTTCTTCAAATTTGGCAAATGTTTGGCTTATAAAACATGTGTGACGTAGGCTGAGCTTTCTCTCTGGCTATTTAGATTTCCTGGGCAATTTTAAGCAAGTCATCATGCCTTAGTTTCCCTGTCTGAAAACTTAAGGTGTTGTCGGCTTTATATTATTCTTGCATCTGAAGCATTGGAAGATGCTCTAGAAATAAAAATTCTTTTTTATCAGTTCTGAAATATGTTTTTTAAATTTTTCAGCTCTATAACCAGGAGACATGCCTCGAGTGGATCATCTTCCATGACGTCACAGTGACATCCAAAATCTATGTCCGGACGGTGTGTCCTGTTCGCTATGAGTGGGTCAAAGACTTGTTGCCCAGATTGCATCAAATCGATGCATATGAACTGAGCAGTGTGGCACGGGAGGAAGTAACTGAAGAGGAAATAACCAAGTGGAAACATAAGAAGGATCTTAACAGACAGTATGGTAAGCACATCACTAGTCCGTATCTATGGCGTGTGTGGTTTTCTTGGTTGTTGTGGACGCGTGTGTGTGTATTATGTCACTGAAGGCATAGTAGGTGTTAATCTGGATTTTAACATATTTTATGTTTAGCTCTAGTTGTTTTCTTGTTTTACTACAGTTCCGTAGTGCTCATTTTCCCACCTCGGCAATGCGGGTAGTGGTGTAGTGGTGTTTGCTTACTGGGTCTTGCCATGCTTCCCCCTTCTTTTGATTAACTATAGCTGACAGGAGCGGAATTTTTAACCCAAAGTTGAACAAAAACATTTTGAGACTGACCATTATTTAAGTTTGCAAAGGGTATCTAGCCATAGATGCCCCAAATAATACTGTCCTGAGAGAGAGAAGCCCTAAGGGCTACGGGGCAGGGGAGGAAAAACAAACAAACCAACAAAAACAACCCAAAAAACCCCACCAAACAAAAAACAAGAGGAAAAAAGATCACATTTTGATGAACGTCTCATTGTGACAATGAATTTAATGCCATATGTTTAAATAGTCAGTTTTAATTAAAACTGGTGCCTGCTAACTGATCTGGCTGCCTGACATTCTTTGAATTCTTCTGTCAGCAGGTTTCATAAAGCAGCCAAGTATTCAAAGGGCCTCTTTACTCCTGAGCTGACCCTTCCAAAACATTGATTTCATATACAGTACAGGCACTGGCAATACAGATTTTTCTTCAGTTTCCTCAACAATGGGAAAAATGTAGACTCTTGTGTTAGGACCAGCATCTCTTTCTGTGCTGTGTTATTTTATAAACCAGCCATTTTAGATTATGAAAACATGAACTGGATTTGGTTATAAATTTGCTGGGAAGGATACTTGCATTATTGGATAATGCAGAGGAGCCTCATCTATTTATCTGAAGTCCGAGGAGCTGAGGTTTGTTCTCTTTGTCCCCCTTAACTTTTTGACTTCACCGGGCAATTGTAAATTAATTTGAGATTAATATTGACCTTACAGAAATTGTATTTCTGGGACCTTCATAAAATCAGGGGGCTGAATAGCTGACAAAGGCTTAATTAGTACCCAGTGGAAGGAAAGGCTGCAGCATGAGCTGAATTATTACTTGACTGCACGACAGAATAATTACAAATATTCCAGTGAACAGTGAATGCTGATTAAAGCTCCTTCCTCATCAAAGAATCTGGTGCCCAGCCCCAGAGCCCTAGGAACAGGCTGTGGTAGCCGCTTCATTCACATAATGCTTAGGCTTTCAGTGTCTTTGATTTTTTTTTTTTTTTTTTTTTTTTTTTTTTTTTTTTTTTT